GGGTGGGGCAACAGAGATTACCAAGTCTATGCGTTTTACGTAAATAACTAAGGCTTGTCAAATGCAGACATTTAAAAAATGTGTGGGCAGGGGAGATGGTAGCAGAGCAGGTGAATGGCAAGGAAATCAGCAGGTGACAACTATGTAATCCTTTGTAAGCTTGTCAAGTTTGAGAGAATGTGCCATAGTAGAGGTCGTCTCATTTACAGTTACAATAGGCTTACGAACACTGGAATGAGGTAATGTTACTACTGTCTGACAGTGCACGTGTCGGAAATGTGCATTTTAAGGTTTGAAAGAAATTTAAAATTAGTTTGCTTGATTGAATTTTGTGTCTAGTTGAGTATAAAACATAATGAAGGAACGTATATGTATGTATGTATTTAAATTAAGGCCAAATGGTTGCTTTCAATGTCAAAGTCTCTGTTCAAGTTTATTTCAAGATCATTTGTGACTATTGCTGAATGAAGCCTTAAGGTCCAAACTGTGTATTCAACTCAGTAGGACCCAGGTGCGATCCTGACTTCGAGTAGTTTTTAAAAACCATTTTTAATTTTTTAATTATAATTTAACCAATTATTATTTTTTTTATTTATTTTTTAAGGTTTTTTTACCTATCTATTTCAAGTTAATATAATTTTTTTAGTTTGATTTTATTAAAAAAGAACAAAACAACTATAATTAGTGAAATAAAAAAGTGATTGAACAAATTAAAAAAAAAAAAAAATTAAATTGTGCTGGCCATGGGACGCGAACTCGTGGCCTCGTGGCTTGCGTCGATAGTCGTAGTCATGGTAAATCACAGACAAGGTCAAAATATTTGTCGCAACGATATTTATAATCAAGTTTATAGCCAAAGTCGTAGTCATAGTCACGGTGACAGTCATAATTATAAGCATTGTCATAATCACAGTCCTGGTCAAAATAAGGGTTGTATTGATAGTCGTAATCACAGTCATAATGATCATTATAAAGGCTACACCAAAGCCATATTAATTACCATACTCGTAGTATAGTACTTAGATTATCTCAGACAAAGCCAGAAATAATAATAATCATTAATGGTAACCATAAATATAGTCTTATACTTCGTTCAAATTAACGAGTTAAACATGTTAAATGGGCTCGAACCAGTTAAATGAACAAAACGTGTTCGTAAGAAAGTTGAATCGCATGCAGTTGTTGTTGGAAAATTCGACCGGTTAAACCATTTAACTCGTTTGAAAACCAGCTCAGAGTTGTATCGGAAAGCTTTCTACTTCAGTCAATCAGGAAGAGCCAGAAGCTTTCATTTGACACCCAAAGTGGCAAGACAATTTAAAAGATGTAATGTGAAACGATTTTCTGTCATCCCTTGTCAAATCTGGTTTGGGGACAAACTAGTTTCGGCGTTCTGCTACCTTCAGTGCAATTTTTCGTTCTTGAAAGAATCTCATTAGCATTAAAATCTTACAAAAAAAGAACTGCCTTGCCAACTTTCATGGGGAAAAGCTCTTTGACAGAAAGTACTTAATCGCGTTCAAAATGTAAATCTAAATCATTTTGATGAACACGCTACTCCAACAGCCGCAAGCAACGAGTGATCAAAGTCGAGGTGCGGGTCCTCGGGCAGCGGAATATTCTTGCTTTTTAAAATTAAATTTTTTTTTTCAATTTCATTTTCTTTCAATTTTGGGGATTTAGTGCCGGTTTTCAGAAAAAAATTTGTTTTTGAAGGGCATATAAATTTTAAGACCTACTTGATAAAACGGCTCCTTTTGTATTTTTTTAATTTCAAAACATTTTTATAAATTTAATTTATGTATTTGTTTAGTTTAATTTAATTTTTGATTTTATTGACTTAAGCATTTAATTTATGAAACATATTTATTTCTCTTTCTATTTTTAAGTTAATTCCTTTTTTATAAAATTTTCGTTTAACTCTTAGATTTTATTGTTAAAGAAAACTATTTTTTTATTTCATTTAAGTTTTTTGAAATCATTCTTTTCTTTTTATAATTAACGTTCTCTTAGTTTTTAAATTCCAAAACCTATTTGATAAAAGGGCCCTCGTTGTTTAGAAAAAATAATATATATGTATATATTTTTTAATTTCATTTAATTTTTAGTTAAATATTTTTGCTATTTCGATTAAATTTTTGGATTATATTGCATTAAAAAGGACAAATTTTAATTTAATATACAAATTTTAATTTTATATAATTTAAAAACTTATTTATTTATTTTTTTTAATTTCATTACTTTTAAAATCTTTCAACTATAGGATTGTATTGTTTAAAAATAAAAAATATATATTTTAATTTCATTTAATATATAGGAACTTATTTTATTTTTTAAATTTAATTTTCTTAAATTTTTTTTAAATTTTATTTATTTTATAGATGCTATTTTTATACCCGAGCGCACTTGTGCACAAGGGTATATTAATTTTGTTCACATAACGGTTGTTTGTAACAGCCAAAACGAATCGAGATAGATATAGACAAATGTATACATAAATGATCAGAATGAAAAAAGAAATCGATTAAGCCATGTCTGTCTGTCCGTCCGTCCGTCCGTCTGTCCGTCTGTCCGTCTGTCCGTCTGTCCGTCTGTCCGTCTGTCCGTCTGTCCGTGTACACGATAACTCGAGCAAAAATTGAGATATCTCAACGAAATTTGGTACGTAGGTTTCCCTTAATCCAAGGTAGGTTGGTATTGAAAATGGGCGAAATCGGACTTTAACCACGCCCACTTCCCATATAACGGTAATTTCCAGAAATACGAAAACTGCGATATTTTAGTAACTATTGAAGATAATTCACTCAAAATTGATATTTACAATAATTTTTAGACGAAAAATAAGAATATTATAAATTTTTGGAAAATGGGCGTAGCCACGCCCACTTATGGTTACATGTGTATATCTTGGTAACCGCTGCACCAATTTCTTCCAAACTTGGCACAGTTGTTGGCCTTCGCATAACATACCAAATGGCCGAAAATTTTTAAAATCGCTCAATAACCACGCCTACTTCCCATATAACGGTAATTTTCAGAAATACGAAAACTGCGATATTTTAGTAACTACCGGAGATTATTCACTCAAAATTGATATTTATAATAAGTTTTAGACGAAAAATAAGAATATTATAAATTTCTGGAAAATGGGCGTAGCCACGCCCACTTATGGTTACATGTGTATATCTTGGTAACCGCTGCACCAATTTCTTCCAAACTTGGCACAGTTGTTGGCCTTGGTACAGCATAAAAAACCGCCGAAACCTTTAAAATCGGACAATAACCACGCCCATATCCCATATAACGGTAATTTAGAGAAATACAAAATCTTCGATTGATGCTAATTTATTCAAAATTGATGCTTGCAACAATTCTTTACCAAGAAATACGTTTATGGTAAAATTTTGGAAAATGGGCGTGGCACCGCCCACTTATGATCACATATAAGTATATCAGTAACCGTTCTACCAATTTCTACCAAACTCGGTATGGTTATTGTACTTGCCACGTGTAAGCAAAACGTTGAAAATTATTGAAATCGGACTAAAATAACGGCCGCTTCTCATATAACGGTAAGTTTCAGAAATGCTTGAAACTTCAATATTTCGAAATTGAAGGACGCTAATTTACTCAAAATTGATACACCTCGGCTTACCATCTAGCGGAAGGTTTCGGAAGGGTGAAAAAACATATATTTAATACTTGCGCCGGGTATTTAATGTTCGGCTCCGCCCGAACTTAGACTTTCTTACTTGTTATTTATTATTTAATTAAATATCTTTTGAACTAAATTTTAAATTAAATTTTTAGTCTTTATTGTTTTAAATTATTTTTTAAAATTAATTTTTAGAAAACCATGCTGAAAGTCAACCAGAATAACTAATACCTCCTCGTTAACAGACCTTATTAATCTTTCGAAAGACAGAAATGAGCTTTCAAGATAGTTGCTAGAATTTACAATTCTCGAAAGACTTTTGCCTTTAGAAAGACTATAGTGTGTTAGAAGAATTGCTCTGTTAATCAAAGTCTTAGCTATGGTCTTAATCAAACAAACAAATAAAACAAAATATAAAATAGCAACAGTCCTTTTTCTCTTCTAGGAGATGATACGGTCAGAACTTGATGCAATAATTTCTTGAAATCGTAGAACTTTAACTAAATTTGAATGGGTTAATTACTCGCCATCGCTCAGATGGCAAGGTGGCTTTCGAAAATCTTACTAGGAATGCTACAACCAAGCTGATTGAAGGTAGTCAATAAATAATTACACAGGTTTACAAAAAAAGTTTCTGCATATTGAATCAAACCTCTATATCCCTATGTTATTCGACGCGCTGAATCAGAGGTCTGTTGGCCTCTATCACGTCCAGTTCGAGGTAATTTGAAGGTCAAATAGGGGAAAAATTCTTTAAATAAACGTGATAATTCATATATATGGGGCACGAGGTCGTTTGAGGGTCAAAAAGAATAAAAAAATTATTTTTTATTAAAAATAAAAATTCATACGCATAGGTCATTGATGTCGCTGAATCCGAATATGGTGATCCTTGATTCTTCACGGTCATCTAGAGGTCATGCCAAGATCATTTCGATGTCAGATTCTGATGAATTGTATTGAATTATCAGGTTTATCCAATGAACTTTTCCCTACTTGACCTGCAAATGATCTCGAACATGAAGTGATAGAGGCCAACAGATCTCGGATTAGCATTCAGCGCATCGAAAATCATAGCTATATAGATGTTTGGTTCAATATGAAGAAACTTTTTTTTTGTAAACCTGTATTATTATACCAGCACAACTAAGGCGTCACCACGGAAAAATATGGTTCATCTTGGGTTTTGAAGCCTTGCTTGAGCTGATCTACGAACTAATTGGAGATACGAAATCATTTTAAGGCGTAGCAAATGGTAAACAAAAACACCTACCGGCCCCGCGTTTTCCTGGCCCTTTTAAACCCCAATAAATATTAAGTATTAAATAATCTGCCTTTTACTCACCTTGGATCGCCAGCAGGCACCTGCGTTTCTGGATCCGAATTACTGCGATAACCATAACCACCACCGCCACCGCTAGTTAGGCGCTCGGCGCGTGGCTGTTGCGGCTCATCATGATGCAAATGACTGATCGAGCGATGCGCGTACTGCGGTCCGGACTCATCGTTATATGACACTAAACCGGCATCATCATCATTGCGAGCATCGCCAGATTCGTCACCGCCTTCGTCGTCGACATCGTCAACATCCGCAGAATCATCATCGTCCTCATCCTCCTCCTCGTCCAGATCTCCGTCATCGGACTGTTAGATAAGGGAAGGTAAGAAATGGCTCAGATTAAAGGTAGGAAAGTTAAATGTGTGCAAATTTGTGCCTTTTTAGAACTAATCATTTTTAAACGCTTAGTGTATAATTTTATCTGTTTTTTTTTTTTTTAATTTAGTTGTCCTAACTAAGTACTCACCGCTGCGCGTGGCCCGCTGCTGCCGAGTATAATTGTACCACCGCTATCACAAGAGACCCCCGTCGCGCATGGCTGCACGGATGCGGGCTTCGTAACTGGGTCGCATTTGGCGCTATGTCTGCCGGTGGACGATTTGCATTCAACGCCACGCATTTGCAAGCCTTGGCCGCAGGTTACCGAGCACTATGCGCCACACACCAATGCGAAAGTCACCACAGCGAATAAGCATACGCACGTACAGGAATGCATAGATGTGTTTTGTAAGCCGCAGGGCATTTTCGAATAGTTGGCGTAGGAAGAGTTGCATCAGGCGATAGTTGTTGTTGTTGTTGTTGTAGTGGTTTTTATTTATGTTGTCAGGACGTCGCAAGTGGAGATAAAACGTAAATGACACAAAATTATAAGGAATTATAAATAATTTCAACGTGTTTAGCATAAAAATTTACATAAAAAATGTTAGCACACACGCACACCCACGCACGCATATGAATCTAATTGGGTGCGGTAATGTGAAAAAAGTCAAAAACTACATGCGAATACGTAATCCCGCCGTGCACGAAGAATATGTAACAATAAAGATGTCAGCGAAAAAATGAGCATATGGTAAGTAAATGTGAGCAACAATTTAATATGCAAAGGATGATGAGGAACTGAAGCTGTGTAGGTGTGCGCTGCCATATGCTTTTATGTACATTAGGGTGGTCCTTAAAAAAATTAAATGAACGATTTTTTTCAGTCTCATCCCCTCAATTGGTAATAAGTATCATCGTCAAAGATATCACATATAAATTTTGGTCCCGATTTGAAACGATTAAGGCGTGTCGCACAGGGGGAAAATTACAAATTCCTCTATATAGACTTGAAAAATTACAATTATGTTTTTTTTTATCTAATACCCAAAAATCGATACTACTATAGTCGAAGATGTCAGATATACATTTTGGTCCCGATTGCAGTTGGTTAAGGCGTGTCGCAAAGGGGTCAAAGGCAAGATGCCTCTATGGACTCAAAAAATTAAAAATATATATTTTTTTTCTTTTAATACCCAAAATCGATACTACTAATGCCGAGCATATCTCATATAAATTTTGATCCCCATTGGAGTCTGTTAAGGCGTCTTCATAGGGTAATCTGAACTTTGACCCTTGACCCTTGACTTTGACACGCCTTAACCGACTTCAATCAAGACCAAAATTGATATTTAATATATTCGACTATAGTAGCATCGACGTAGAGGTTGCGGCTTAGGAACTCTGGTGTAAAAATTGTCTCCTACATCTAAGGACCACTCTAATGCACATACACACATACGTATGAATTTAAGTACATACTTTAATGCTGCCTAAACATATGCACACGCTTAATACCCACTTACACATCTCATTTGGATAAAAATATCAACAATGAGCCTGGGTTGCCAAGCCGACAGAAATACATATACGGTAATTACCGTAGAGGTTGTGATTTTGTCAATAAATTATAATTTAACCCATAAAATTTAAATTTAATCGTTTTCATCTATGTATTTTCAATCAAAAGGAATTCAAAGAATTCATAAAAGCGGAAGTATGTTCGAAAAAGTTAAAATCAATTGCCTTGATTATGAATGAAAAATAAAAAAAACTGTCAAGCAAAGCCCCTGAAAATTCAAAATAACAGAGGTCCTAGCCATAGTAATTTTACAATAAAAAGCCAAATATTTTGTTTTGAGATCAGAGATCACTAATGGATTTGAATAATCTGTGAGAAGCCAGGAAAACCCGAAACGTTGCGAAAAGCTCTGAAAAATACAGGCTTTAAGAGTCCCCGAAAAATCCCAAGAAATTCTGAAAACTAAAACCGAAATACATAATGCCAAAATTTCCGGAAAAAAATCTTTAAACAAAATGTCAAAAATCTAGAAATATCCAAAAAGTCACGAAAAAAAATCTGAAAACTTACCGAAAGGTCCCAAAAAAAGGATATACCGAAATATTCCAAAAAAGGGCCCGGACAAATTCCGAAAAATCTCTAACAAACCCGCAAAAAGTAAACCACGATGTAAAATCTCGCAATTGCTCCAAATATACCGGAAACGTACCGAACAATTTTTTTAAGTTCCTGAAATAACCTGGAGAGGAAAAAATTAAAACTCTGGAAAAAATTCGAAGAGTCCTGAAAATGTCGGTATGTTCAAAAGTCCTCGTAATTTCTCCAAAAACCTCAAAAACCTCGAAAAAGCTTTATGACATTCCAAAGATTACCGAAAATTCTCGAACGTTCTGAAAAGCTCCGAAAAGTCTTTGAAAAACTCTAACGAAAATGTTTTCAAAAGTTACCGAAAAGTATAAAAAAAAATACAGAAAATACCGAAAAAACTCCAAAAGTTTCAAAAACGTTCCGGAAAAAACTCGCTTAGATATCCCAAAAAATAAAACGCGAGACATCTCGAAAATGCTCGAAAAATGATTCGAAAAATACCAGAAATATACCAAAAAAGTCTTAAAGTACCTAAAAAATCAACCTCCAAAATATCCCGAAAAGTCCCGATAAGGATTCCAAAAGCTATTGAAACGTGCGGAAAAGACCTCAAAGATCCCAAAATATCTGTAAATAAATTTAAAGAATCCCGAAAGTCCGCAAAAAAATTTAGAAATAAATAATATAAAAAAAACTTTTTAATATACAACGCTTTTATAAATGGACTAAAAAGTAGAAAATAATATTTCTCAGTCCCATAGAATTTGATTTGATAACTTTTGATTTTGAAATTTTAGCAAAAGTCATTATAAAAATCTATGAAATTGAAAATGAATTCGATTTAATTGACAATAGTCAAACTACATAACGTAGACCTAAAATTTCTACAGCGAAAGTAGAACTTTGAAATCGATTTTAAGCGGTCGTTATTCATATACCCACATACATACATACATATATTACTTTTCATATCAATTCAAGTGTATTTCATGCGCCCCACGCCTTTCATTTTCAATTTCATAGATTGTTTATAATGACTTTTGCTAAAATTTCAAAATCAAAAGTTATCAAAACAAATTCTATGGGACTGAGAAATATTATTTTCTACATTTTAGTCCATTTATAAAAGCGTTGTATATTAAATTTTTTTTTTTTTATATTATTTATTTTCTACTTTTTAGTCCAGTCTGAATAAAATTTTGCAATAGATATTAAAATAATTCAACGATATTAATAGAAAGGTGCACACACATGCATTTACATATGTATGTACATACAAACGAGCACCAATTAATTTTATTTAAAGAAATGGCGTGTCGTCTATTTCCGCTGTAGCAAACGTAGTACATAGGGCGACATCTAGATGTCATCTACCTCGCCCCATTCACTACAGATGTCGCCCTATGCACTATGCTTTTTTATAGGAACTTTTCAAAGCAAAGGTTTTATGGTGTCGGACACACAACATTGAAAGTTTCTGGATCCACAACATTGAAAGTTTCTGGACACACAACATTGCAAGTTGATAAAAGCGTTGTAAAATACCGGAAACTTTCCGAAGAATCTGTAAGTTCCCAAATCAATTTCCGGAGAATAAAACATGAAGAATTCCGAGAAGCAATAAAAAAAATTACGAAAGCTACCGAAACATGCCGAGAAATCTCGAAATCTGAAATCCCGACAAAATCAACGAAAATATCCCGAAAAATTTCCGCAAAAATCTGGAACAAATCTCAGAGAACTAAATCGAAAATGCTTGAAAAAATCTCAGAGAAATCGAAGTTCCCAAAAAGATTCCTAAAAGTCCTGCAAAAAGCGCCAGAGTTCCAAGAAAAATCTTGAAAAAATCTCAAAGAGTAGGCACCTTTTCTAGCTGCTGGAAAATTAATTAATAAAAAATTCTCTATATATTTAAATTAAAATCTTTGATGATAACTTAATTGTTTTCTCCAGCTTCGATATTTGTAATACACAAAAATAAAAATAAATAATGTGTGTTGTGGAAACAGGGTAATTCGCAAATCACTTAGCGAATTACGAATCGTGGGAACATCGTATAATTTCGATTACTGGCAATGAAACGAAATTGCATACAGGAGGGCAAAACTAAGTGCTCTTGGCCATATCGTTATTACTTCTGGGCTTGTAAAAGAGCGTAGTGGTCAACTTTACGACCTTCGCTGGCAGGCGTAACATTACCCTGATCAGTATCGTAGAATTTATCGTAACGTAAAGTTACTCAGTTAAAGGCAAAAAGGTTCATAGACCGCTGATTTGTATTTAGAGCCGGATTACCGAAAATGTGGTGATGTGGTAAAAGCATCTAAAATCGCACAGGACTTTCCATTGCCATTTCTGGTTTTCCTACTGCTCAAAGTGAAATTTGTAACTACATAGACTGGCCAACAACTACGTGCTTGTCTAAGCAATAGGAAAATAATGCAGTAATCTTGTTGCCACAAATTTAATATTTTAACAACTCTGGCAACCATTTCAAATGTCCCAAATCTAATCTTCGCTAGCATGCAGCGCATGTGGTTTATATATATGTACTTATAATCACACCACGTCGCATATGCAAATGGTATTTTTTCTACGCTTGTGTCTACAAACAAATAAAAGAACATTAAGTCGTCACAAGCCAAAAGCGACGAGGGTCTAAAAAGGTTACAATAAATGAGAATAGTGAGTGAATGTGTTCATACGCAGCTGTTTAATAAACCGCGCATATGCGTATGCAATGAAAAATAAAATGACTGGACTTATGCACTTATGAAGATACTAGATGGGCTTAGGTGTGTGTTTTTGTATTAGATAAGCCTAGCTAATAATAATTTAAGGAACGCTGAGAAGCTTTCTATAAAGTGGTCCATGGATACGCGTAGATATATAAGTTAGTTGTGGAATAATTTCCAACACCGAACTATGCACTTAGAAGTTAACTGCAATTCATCTAAGAAAATGTTGACTGATTAGGCAAACTGGGATAAGAAGACAGTAACTGGCACTACTTCACGTACGTAGCTGGGCCCAAGGGGATGGGTTAATGCAGCGACTCGATGAGAGTCAACAACTGCGGGAGTGTTTGCGGACGCCCAGACAGGAAGGACAGACTAAGCAGACAGCGGGAAGCATGTCAGGACCATCCAGACAGTCAGCACCTCAGCCCCACGGCCATCTTCATCAGGTGATAGATAAGTGGATATTGTTGAAATTTTTGTTCTTATTTCTTCGGTGACTCTTGACTGGCATTTAAACTCGAGTGCAATTATGATATATAAGATACGTGCAAACATTTAAGATAAACACTCTCTGTAAGTTGCGACTAAGTTTATCTAGTGGTGGTAAATGGCGAGCACCGAGTGCAAGTATACCTATGTACAAGTGAATGAGTTGAAATGTTAGGGGAGTTGATTATTTGTGGCAGACGCAATGGACAGACAGCCGCTTTCATACGGATCTTAATGAAGCTCAATGATTTAGCTTTTCACCTTCTCGCGAAATCTGTGTAAGTAAAAACTACTTAGTCTATGTTAAGAAAATGCATACATATGTTGGCAAGGAAAAAGTAAACACTACTCTCATTTCCCAAGATAATTTGCCAAGATCAGTTTTGCAACGCGAGTAAAATTTGATTTAGGAACAGCTCCAGTTTGTTGGCTTTAGTTTAACTAAATAATATTTTCTGATGTACATATTAGCAATCACTCCAGTGAAAGTCGGAGCTAAACGTAAGAGCAACATAGTATACGTACAATGGTCGAAAAAATTATAGCCACACCACATGTGGACAAATTTTAACACATGTTTTTTTTTTTAATTTTTTTGTTATTTAATTTGGGTTAATTTTTTTTATAAAAGTTTAGTTCATTCTGAAACAAACTCGTGAAATTTCCAGCTTCACAGCTATGTATTTAATTAGATTTCCTACAAAGAATCTATAGAAATTAGGTTTAGAAATTTTATTAAACCTTTGAGTCCCACTTTTGTTTTTTGATAAAAATAAGTGTAAGATATTTTTGAAGTGTTAACTGGTTAACTTTTATAATTAACAAAAAATACAATTAAAAAAAATATATAAAAAATTAAACTGTAAGCGGGTTAAAAATGGCTTGAAACGATGGAGCTTTTAATAAAAAAAAAAAATAGTTTTTTTCTTCCGTAAATGGTCAAAGATGTTAGAAAAAAGAAATTTTTAGATTTTTTTTGTTTAAATTGTGCTGGATGAATTCGTATTTAAATTAAAAATTTTTTTCTGATTGGTTTTGGCTGTTAAAATCCTAAAAAATTAACCCTGTGAGCCACACGAGTTTTTTTTTTAAAGAAGATGATTAATTTATATAACTAAGAAAATAAAAAATAAAAAATGTATACACAATTTGACTATCTGCGGGTTGAAAATGGTTTCAAACGGTGATGCTTTTTTTAAAATATAGGATTTTCCAGAGTTGCACGGGTTAATTTTTTTTTAATAAGTGCAAGAAATTTTTAAATTGAGAACAGCCCAATTTTTATAATTGGTTCATATAAGTTTAAACAAATTAAAGATAAAATAAAATGAAAGGAAATTAAAGAAATAATAAAAAATAATAATTCTCAGTGGTTTGCAATGGTAATACTTCTTTACAAAAAATAACAATTTTTTTTTATAGTGTGCGCAGGCAAAATTTAAAGAATTTTAATATTTTTTTTTAGGTTGCAAAAGTTATATAACTGTTAATTTTAAAAATGAAAAGAAATTGAACTGTCTGCGGTTTAAAACGGGTCTGAAATCGTAATTCTTTTTTATAAAAAATATTAGATTTATTTTAGTGTATACGGAATAAAATTTAAAATTTTCAATAAAAGCATTTTTTGTGAAAAAATTGGAATATTTATGGGTTTATTTAACAGTTTTATAAATCCTAAGGGGTTTTTATTAAAAAATAACTGCCAGCGGGTTAAAAGTGGATTGAAATGGTAATGCTATAAGAAAAAATATCAGATTTTTTTTGAGTATACGACTTAAAAGTTTAAATTTTTTAACAAAAGTTAGGGATTTTTCCGGAATATTTGTGGGCTTATTATGTTAATTTTTAAGGACCGTTTCCTCAAGTAGGGTTTAAAATTTATCTGTCCTTCAAATACATTTTTTCAGAATAAAATTTGTGTTTAAAAGGCAGAGAAATTTTAAAACTTCCTTGAGAAAATGGACCTAAATGCGTTTAATAAAGTAAAACCATTTATTTTTGTCTATATCTTCGAAGCAACAATCAGCTGGGAAAGCTTATTCGAGATTTCATTAAGTGAAAATGTACAGTCATAACTACACTTCAAATAAGCACAAAAAAGTGTCCAAATTTATCTTAGCCATTTAGGTGCTACCCAAAATCGCGGACCACGCTAACACATAAATAAAAAAGTTCTCACCGCATAATCGCACGAGTGAAAATGCCGTGAAAAATCAAAACTTCATAATTAAAGTGCAAACTGTGCGAACGAAAATTTTTTACAGCACAAAAGGAAAGTTGGCAAAAATAATGGTGCAGCAAGCAAAGGGTTTAAGCCGGCAAAGTTAAGCTACACAAAAAACCAACTATGTATGTACCAAGAACCCGCACTTTAATGTCTTTTTTGCCACTACGTACTAAATACTGAAATCATACTCACTCCAGTCCATTCCTCCACCTCCCACGTTGGACACTTCTCAATCATGCAAGGCTCCTGTGTGGCTGGCTTTTGCGTTCGACACATAACATCCAGTACCTGTAATAACAGCGAACAAGGAGAAAGAGAAGAAAAAAAAAACGCATAGGAAAACAAAAAGAAAATTATACAAGAAAATGGTAGATGGATGTATGTAGGGCGGTAATTTCATGAAATTAGTCAAGTTACCATACAACAAACACACAAAAACAACAGCAACAAAGTAATACAGTAACGCGCGATAAACGCTCAGTAGTAGCAATTATGAGCACAAAAGCGAGCGCTCTACTTATGAGCCATTGATGACGACGAGCTTCCAGCTGTGCACACAAGAGCTTGCAGCGTTTTTTGATAATCTTCAAAGCGCATAAATGTAAAGTTACAAAGCAATAATGTGTGGCACACCGAGCGAGCGCACAGGCACGAGTACACTCGGTGCGAATGTGGCTAAACTGGGCACCACCCACCCCGCCCGCTGTATACTAAATACTAATGCTATTGTTTTTGTTCTTGTTGCGCGGTTTTTGTATGGTAATTTTATTGTATTTTGTTGTTGGTATTTTTCTTCGCTTGCTATTTTATGACTCAATTTGCGCTTACCGTTGTCTTGATGCCATTATTCTCCTCTGCGCACACAACCATGCGCTCACGATAGCCAGGACCGCAGAGTCGGCTACATGGACTCCAGTCATCGGTAATCCACCTGAAGTGAAATGAAAATGAAATTAAAGCAAATCATTTAATTTTATTACAAGGCTGTGGTGGTGTTTTCTGGGGGTGTATGTGGCAAATTTCGAAGGCAAGCTAAGTAATAACTGCTTATACAGGGGTGCGCTTAATTATAGCCTGAAAATATGTAATTATCTCGAAGTTGGAATTGATTGGAAAGTAGGCTTTTTTTGTGTGGTCCACGCGCGCCGTGGAAGCTTAGAAGGTAATTTTTTACACGTTTTTATGTGACAAACACATTTAGAAGATTTTTGGACATATTTAATTTTCTCCTAGGGAAATGTAATTCGGCTTTGGCCATTTGGCTGGGTACACTTTCTATGTGATCGACAGCGGGCTGCCCTGAGAACTAATTGCTCTACTGCGATCGAGTAGCGGTAGAGTTTACTAAGCCCTTAGTGGTAGTGAAATTTGTAGTCAAACAAATTAGATAGTGATAATTCTATTTCACTTTCACTTTGGTAGTGAAATTTAAATGCACAACCACTAAAGCAATATTATGATTATATATGGTGAATATTATGATTTAGTGCAATTTGCCCAAACCTGGTTGCAATCTAAAAGAGAGTTTAAACCACTTGTTTAAAATGAAAAATGTTGCTCCTTCATCGCACCTTTTATCTTAAAAATTTACTTATAAAAAAAACCGAAAGAGACATTTTAATTTTTTTCATTCGAATTTCAAAAAACTGTAATTTTTACTAGGATGTAATTTAAAAAGCTGTAAGCTTATCTAAAAGAAATGGATTTTAGAGTTAAAACTCTGAATCTGGCAACATTGTTTATAGGAGTAACCGGTCCTCTTCTAAATGTGAGCATAGGTGAGGACTCCTCTAAAAGCGTCAAGCGGTATGGCTTTGGGCTAAGCTATGACGAAACCCTGGAGGCATCGGACGAAATTCAGGTACACAAGGAGAACTGAAGTATCCTCACTCTCAGCCATTATAAGAAACAGCCGCCTTTGACGCATTCCAAGAACGCAGAAAGGTAGACAGTAGGAGTGAGAGTCAGGTGAGGTTCTCAGACATTGACGAGTCACTATCTTGTGGAATCACTACAACCGTAGTCCAGATTAACCTTCATTATGGTATTCGCACCCCGAAGGGGTTTTAACAAGAAAGTTTCCTTCGGATGATCTGGATATCATAGTATTTCATAAGCCAGCTACTTATTAAGCGAAATATGTTCGTGCCCCTACTACCCTGTCATCTTTTAATTCATACACTGTTGAATTTTAGTTCATACACTGTGATATTTTTTTTTTTGACATTAAAAAACTTAGTTTTAAATTAGTCTCTTTTTTTGCTTACGATTTTTGGAAAATCTGCTACGACTTAATGAAGCTGCAGTGTGGTCTGTACTAGGGATGTTGCGAATGTGGAGTTTTAGACATCCGCTTCCACTCCCCAGCGCCTGGGTTTAAGCCCGGGTCAAAGCAACATCGCAAAACAAATATAGAAAAAAGGTTTTTTCTTAACAGCGGTCGTCCCTCGGCGGCAACGGCAAACCTCCGAGTCTATTTCTGCCATGAAAAAAAGCTTCTCATAAATATTCAATCGCCGTTCGGAGACGGCATAAAACTGTAGGTCGCTCCGCTTTGTGTGACAACATCAAGGCGCACGCCACAAATTGGAGGAGAAGCTCGGCCAAATTAGGTGATTTAGGTAAATGAAAAATGGAAAGGTTAGACATTTTTTATAATGTTTTTTTCTTGTGCTTGAATTCAAAAATCGAACATTGTATTTAATAAAAACTTTTTATTAAAAAGTAATGTTGTTGCCTTTTCGGGTTACAGTCTGTTTCTTAAGGGGTCGTAAATCAAATCTGCGGCACTAAATAACTACTCGAACGAGGCGACAAATTTGAAAAACTTGAAGTTTGACAAAATTGTAAATTCTTTTTGATTGACGCTGCACCAGTTGAGAGGACTTTAATATTAAGTTTTTTATTTCGGTGCAATAAATCCCTTTGGAGAATTGCATCGGGACTGCAACTGTCGGATGTGTCCTTTTGACTTTCATCTTCACAATTTAGCATTGTTGTTTAAACACCGCTGTTTTCTTTTGGTTCTTTCTGAATTTGGAGTGCCTGTAACGTCATTAGCGTTTTTCGATTTTAGTTTTTGTAATTCATTTTTAATCCTTCCTATCATATGAAAGAGGACTGAAATAGCTTTTAAACAGAAACAATAAACGAATGTGATCACCTCTGTTTATATTTTTTTATAATTTATGTAACAAAAAAGAAATTCTTATACCTGTCCCAAGGTTTGTTCTATGGTAATTAATTAACATATTTTATTGAAATATTTTTCAATAAGTGGCTTTTCTCGTTTAGACATATCAGTTTTAAAGCTATTTACGTCCTCTTCCATTGGATACCAAACTTGTTTAATTCGGATAAGCGGTTTGTTTATTATCCGGAAAGGACTTTTATTTCGGAATAAAAAAAAAATATCTGGCCAAGTTTAACTCGTAAAAAAATAACTGTTATTTTCGGTCCCTTCAATATTCGCATTCGCAAAAGATCCGCATTGATTATTGCGAGGGCGAAATCGAATGCGATTGTTAAAATTAATGCGGAAGCTCCGCGGCTGCGAATATTCGCAACAACCCTGGTCTGTACCAACTTGAGTTAGTAGTTTGAAAAGACTTTTACTCATATTTTCCTCTAAACTGAGCATAGTTTTGTTAGCAAAAAAACCTAAAGTGAATATGTATACGCCCTTAGTAAAAAACCAAATCTGCATATTTATTCACATGCCACTGACCCAATGTCCGTAAAGAATTTTCACATTGCTGCAACTTTCTTGAAAATCATTGTGGTGCCAGATAAGTTCCTTCTCGCTGTATGATATTGTTGTTACGTTATGCACTTCTGCAATTCCTTTACGGCACAAGCGTTTGAATATCAAGGCGCCAGCTATACTTCTTCATACATAGTATACTAGATAAATACTTACATACATACATATGTATATGCAGAAGCAATGATGTTGCTGCTGCCAAAACAAGTTCATATGTACAACTTGTATGCAAATGAGGCAGGAAATTTAAACGCGCCAAACAAGTTAGGCCATAAAACTTCAGCGAAAGTGAAAAGGGGAACGCGGCGCTTTGTACAAATTGTGGCGTCACTAGTAGTTGGACACTTTTAGGGTAGAAAGCTAGCTGACGCGTTAACAAAAAAAGGAGATGAAGAAAATGAGAAAAGTACGTTTAAGGCGTCGCAACAATGTGGCCAAGGACAATATATGAGTATTAAGTAAGACATAAGGGCAGAAGGAAGAAAAAGTAGGAAGAGAAAGTAGTAACATGGTCAGTGAAAGGTGGCAAACAATGTAAATATACTAATGTATGCATGTTTTTTCTTATTAAGAACGCAGATTTCATAAAGCAGTGCCGAAATGAATGCAACATGCAACACTACTGTTGGTATAAGTAGTGATTGACCTTCAGCATGCCAAGAAGGGTATGATGTAGAGAACAAAGGTGGCGCCCATGTCGGTACTGCTATTCCGCTCTCAGTGAATTTGACTGAAACGCTGTTTATATGCTGTTACACTTGTACAGCTTGTTTACATTTTTTTCTTGTAAAATTTCCTCTTCTTCTTTAGTTCCCGTTTTGGCAAAAATTTTGAGAAAAACACATTTAAATGAAAAAATTTATTTTTTTTTTGTTTACCAAACATACACACTATCTCGTAAACTTTCACATTTCTAGGATTTCATTTAACTTGTCAATTAAATTGATTTGAAATTGCTAAGCTTGTGGCAACCCTCGTCAAAAGTAATTTTTAAATAGTTACAGTTTTCCTTAAACTTCTCTCATTTGGTACCCATATTAAAATATTTTATTTAAATATTTTAGTAAATTGATTTGGTATTTCTAAATAGGTGGCAGCCCCTTTAAAAATATTTGTGCAATAATGAATGAGGTCTAGTTCTTAGGTACCCATACAAAAATATTTTGCTTCACTTGTTATTTAAATTCATTTTAACTTTTTGAACAGGCGGTAAACCCCTTAAAGAAATGTTTCGAAAGAAATTGGATTAAAACCCTTCCGCTTGACAGCCACACTAGCAAGATATTTTATTTAGCTTATTTACAAATTAAATCTAACTTTTTACCAGGTGGTAACACCCTTAAAAGATGTTTTTGAAATAAGAAAAGGCGTATCTATTGAGGAGTTAGGGGATTAAATTTTTCCCACAAAAATTATCCCGTGGTATTCTAAATTGAAATGCTGAACATATCCCATACATAAAATTTAAGTATCTAATGGTTTCCTATGTCGATTTCTAAGAAAATTTTTCGCTAGCAAAAATTCCGAACTGACTCGAGGTTAGTCGAGACAATAAAAAAATTCATTAAATGGAGATATCTACCTACAATTTTACGCCGCTTTCGAATGGCAAATGATTTTATTAGAAGCATTTTCAAGGCAGAAGTACACTCGGAGGTTTCCCATTGGCTGACGAGGAGCGACCGCTGTTAGAAAAAAATTGATCTAATTTTACCAGTTGTTTGGAGCAGGGATCGAAGCCAGGGCCTACGGATTTTTAGTACGCAACTTTAACCACTCGGTTACAGCGGCCGTTTATCAGACAATTTAGTATTTTATTCAGTTATGAATAGTAAAGGAAAACTTTTCTTATGCAAATGAACCTTTTTTAAAAAGTATTTTAATTTTTGTTACCGATATGTTGCTACTGCTTAGTCTTCCGCGAATTCTTATTGATTTTGTATTCACAAATATGTATTTACTTGCCAACATACAAATTTAGGCGAACTACTTTCGCTTTCCCACTCCAAATTTAAATTCTACAGACTTAAACCATTACTTGTTTTTAAAGTACATATTTTCCTTCAGGAACTTTATTTCAACGACCTTTGAAACTAGGTCTTGGCAAAAGAAGCAACAATAAAACTTGCATAAGTTTCAGTCATATAACAACAAAAGAAAAACGCTTCATCACTATAGAAAGACTTCCTCCTCACCAAATCGAAAACGCTGGGAGTAAACAAAAGTGAACATTGTAAACAGACAGACAAGCGAAAGGATAAACAGACAGACAATGAGAGGTAGAGATGAGATTGCAGCTAATGTTGCCAGTGGCAACACATCAGAGAACTTACCTCGGAGGACAGGTGTGCGTGTTGCAGAGCAGCACCGATGGTTCCGGTCGTTGGGGACCGCTGCACATGGTATCCTCGACTTCCACGCCAGTGACACGATTTCGACACACAGGACGAGACATCTTGTAGCCTGCGGGTGACACGAAAGCGAGGAATAAAAACAAGAGAAATTTGTAGCACAATCACAGTTAGATGGTGGAATAATAATATAAAAAGCAATGAATAAAAAGTGAAAATAAAACTGGTAAATGTAGAAAATTTAAAAATGTAAGGAAACAGTGAAGGTGTGTATATGTATGTATGTATGTACATAGTGTTGTGACCAGATAAAACTAGAGGCAATCGTTTTATCAATGAAAGTGTAAAATCCAGAAAAAAGAACACTAACGTCAAACAAGGCGAAAGTCGCAGCGCCGCGGGCAAGTAGAGCGCCCGAGCTGCAAGGGGTAGTGAGTTAGTGCGCGGGCGCGGGCGGGGGTGTGGTATGGCTTGCGCCAAGTCGCAAACTTAAAAAAAAACTCAAGCACAACGCGAGTGCCACAGGCAACGACGCGGAGGCACGCAAAGTCATTGTAAAATTTCAGTGCTTCAGTAGCTGCTGCTGCTGCACTGCTCTGAAACGATGCAGAGGAGAGAACAAAAACAAAAAGAGGCATGCGGAGAGTCGCTAAACATAGTGGAAGATGGAGCACTCCCACAAGCTTTTACGAGACAATGCCAGATTTGACGCGGGAGCACACTTACTTACATATGTATTAGGGATGTTAAAAATTATAAAAAAATTTAATGCAATGTAGAATTAAAATATGGGTACCAAATTTCTTTAAAATTTTTTGGATTCCCAAGGACGAATAGGTATTTTTTTAAGCTGATAAAGTTAAAAAAACGAGGATGTTATCGAGTTTATATAAGTCCCTAACATATAATTTTTTTAAAAACAAATATTGCAAAATTTGAAGGATAAAATTTTAAAAGAACATTTGCAACACTTACCAGTCCATACGCATAAAAAAATTTAATCTGATTAAATTCTACAGAATTTTTTCTTTAACTTCATACCAATACTTCTTCTCGAAGCACATTTTACTGATTTTTTTTTAAATAATTTTGGAATTACTTACGTCAGGGTGAAAAACTAAAAACGCAAGTTTACAATATTTGATTTTTGTGTGTAAAATTTACTATCGCACGGTGTTATGTGTATAATGAGCTAGCCATTTATGAAAAAATATTAATTATTAAATAAAAATAATAAACATAGCCAATACTGGTCAAGAAAAGGAGTTTCTATTATTGCCATCAGTTCAAATTAAAAATCTCGAAAATCTCGGTATTATTTGCCAAGAATCCCGTGATTTTCGGGACCTAAAAAGGCCGAGATCCCGGGATTAACATTTCTAATATATATGTATGGCTGATGCTCTTCATGTAGGGCCGTGTGTGAATTGCAACTTTGCATGGTGCTTCCTCCACGTGCTTGAGATTTTCTAAGTGGCCCGACACATACAAATATGTTTGTGCCAAAGATGAACTTTATAGCAGCAAAGCGTCAATGAAGGCGCGGTCGCGCTTGTGACACGATTGAATTATAGGCTAGCGTTAACATAATACCAGGCTTTTATGTAGGTCCGCACAAACATATAAACTCGTGCATACATATATGAATGTATGCATACATGTTAGTAAGCGTGCGTGCACGATAGTGCAACGCCCATGTAGCTATCGGGGAACGCAGCATGACAGAAGCACGCTTTGTACAGATTTGAATCAATACGCTATCTTAAAGCATAAACAGACGGCTGCGTTGATCCGGATCAACTCGTTAATTTGGAGTTATTTCGGGAATTAATATTTTAGGCAAAAAAATATTTTTTTTCTTCATACATTTATTTTTACCGTCAAAACTGTTGATTATATAGAAAAACGTTATATGAAGAGATTAAAGGAATTGTAATTTTTAATTTTTTTAAATTTGTTTGAGCAAAATCGGACTAGTAGTTCTCGAGTTATGTCAAAAAAAGACCACCTAAGGTGACAATTTCCCCTATATGATAGTTATATATATATCTCGATTCCTAGACGTGACCCAGCGAAACGCCGGGACACGTATAACTTGTTTTTGACCGATATAACATTTCCCGTTGGTTTCATCCCATCCCGATTTTGACTGTCGCATAGTGAAATCAATGAAAAATTCACGTTTGGTCTTTTTTTTTTAATACTTTATTGCATTTTTTCGGTTTTGAGTAGTGCTCTTGAACTGCCGAACTTCGAAAAACCTGAAAGTTTTATTCAGAGGTCAAGATTTGAGTAATATTAAAAAACCGGTTTGTTCGATAAAAAATCCAGTTTATTCGATATTCGAAAAATCAGGATTTAAAAAGACCACATATAGATTTCCAAAAAAATCAAACCGATTTGGAAAGGCCGAGTCAATCACCCTAGTACATACATTAGTCCGTACCACCTTACAAGCAAACAAAAAACAGTTCACGGTACATCCCTGAGTCCAATGTAGATATTTTTGCTATTTTTTGAATATGTCAAATTGTTTTTGAGGTAGAATACGTCTTACGTTTCGGTATGGATACCTTGCTCAAATGTTGTAGTTGTAAATGTCAGAGCTTCACAAAAACGCTTAGTGCGCGAGAAGTAATGGTCCTCTTCTAGTAATTTATGCATGTTTATGTACATATGTATATGTACATTAGGGTGGTCCTTATAATAAAAAAAAAATCGTTCTTTAACAACTATTTTTTGACTTTTATTTAATTGCTCCCTAAATAACCGTTATTTCTGACTTTTATTTTATAAATCCAAATTAGCAATTATTTTTGATTTTTATCTAAATAATCTGCAAATAACAGTTGGTCTCTGATTTTTAAATTATATGTCTTACATAACAGTTATCGAAGACTTTGATTTCTAAAAGTCATAAATAAAAATCAGTCACTGACCATTATTTTTTCAATTATACTTATAAAAGTCATTTGTATAAGTCGTAGTAAACTTTTGTTCCTCAGCACTTCTTAACTGCGAAAAATGTTAATGACTTTTATACGAATGATTTAAAAAATAAAAGTCGGTGACTGATTTATATTGACGACTTTTAAAAGCAAACGTCACTGATAGATTTTTATTGATGACTTTTATAAATAATAATTGCAAATGAAAATTTATTTTAAAATTTTAGTTTCGGTGAAAAAAGAAATCGATTGGTATGTATCACTTAGTAGTAGAATATTTCCTTCATAGTGAATTTTTTAATGACAGTTTTCATCGATAACTGCTATGTTCGGTCCCTGGTTAAATTAAATATTCAAATATGGGAGTCAAACGAAAGAGCGGTAAGAGATCTTTACTTTTAGCATTTAGGATATAAAAGAGGGTGGCCACCTGTTCAAAAACTAAACTATAATTATTTAATAACTTAAAGGAATTATTAAAAGATAGGCATGAATGGAAATGGGTTTAATACGGCTTTATTTCTAAACTATATTAAGAGCAATTACCAATTTCTTAAATAGCGACGGCAAAGCAGCTGATTGTCGGTGCGGTACTTATACATTGGGGAAAAGTCTCCATTAGGGGTGCTCGTGCCAAAACGACACCCACCAATCGTAAAAAGATAGGATAGGAGGAAGAGATGCAAAAAGCCTATTGTCGCCTTTTTCTCTTATCGCGGCACTTTTTTTTTTTTGTTCGTCCTATGATGACAATGGCAAAGCCCTTTAGTGTTGTTGTGTGCGCCATGGTGTGACCGCCAAAGTGCACAATTCGCTTTCAGTATTAACGGGCCGGAGGCCATTGATCGGGCACCAATCGCAAATCCGAAGAGTGGCGTCAGGCGAGGCGATCTAAAATTTATTGTGTCGGTGCCGGTTTTGGATGACATGGGCCCACAGAAGCACTCCCGGCCACAGCTCAGTTCTTACTGATATCTAAATACAGACATCGTCTTGGAAGGGGTAGCCTCAAGGTTGACCTAAACTAGTATAAAAGAAGTTGCTTGGCGCATTTTAGCACTAATCGGATGCCAATTTTCGGTAGAACTCAACTAAAATCAAGTAATGATGAATTTGTAACTTTAAGGGACAATTAAAAATCGCGACAACTTCAACTCATATGAGTTTGAACTTTATAGAGGGACCATAGGACTTATTGTATCACTGTTGTAGAAGCAGAGTATACTTATTCTAATGAGCCAGCTAAACAATATAGTGGAATTTGATTGCTTCACTGCCTATAGTTTTCACATCCGAATTAAAGATAACAATATGGTATTAGAAGAAAAAAAAACACATTGAAATCGTAGGGAGCAATCGCGAATAACTCCGCCCGGAGTCATTTATCGCGGCACAATAATTACAGTAATGATGCCGAATTGAAAAGAAAGTGAAATACAGATTTACAATAGATCATAGGAAAACGGCAACAAATTCGAGCATCCACGGGCAATAATCAGCAAATCAGACAAAGGTTATTTTGTGCTGCAGCGGCATTTTGCCTGCGGATTAATTAGAGCTTGTAAAAACCAATACGTGCGCATAAATACCTGTAATAGAAAGCCAAGTAAAAGCAAAAAAAAAAATAAAAAAAAAATGCATAAAAGGCAGCGAAACTGTGGAAGGAGGAGGTGATAAATGGAAGTCAATATTATATAGTGTATTCTGTGTTCAGTTGCCTGTGGCAGGAATGCAGCATAAATTTTCGATATTGAAGCATTTTGGAATTTCAAGCCGAGGAGGAGAATTTAGAGTGCGCATGGCAAGATAAATGAAAGCAAAAATTTGTCATACATTTTTGGCGATCAAAAACAGGATATACAGCTTTTGTCATATAAAAATTGGGCATAAATTTTTGATAGCCTAAAAACAAAACGTGCATTGTGGGCATACATATTTACGCATTTGAAAAATGGATAAAAAATTCCGATGGTAAAAAGTAGACAAAGAAAAAAAAAATATTATAAAATGGGGCATATTGAATATAAATAGAAATAAAGAAACCGTTTAGCGGTTTTAAAGTATGTTTTTACAGGCTTATTTATGTACATACTCGTATACTGTATAGCTTTTTTTTCACTCTCTACCGCTCATATATTTTCGAGCTTTTAAATATTAACGATAT